GATTTTTTTGTATTATTTTATAATTCTTTTATTAAGATTTTTTGTTTTTTGTGAGGCTTACGCTTCAATTCGCTTTGAGGTTTACGCTTCGCCTCATAAAGAAAAATATCTTCAGTATTTAGTTTCGCATTTTTAAACCTTAAACATGAGTAATCATATTGATTTGGAGCAGCCACATTTAGAGTATTTGGAGCCTGCATTTCCTCTTTGTTCACAAATTATAGGAAGGAAATTTTAACTTTGAGTTGCCCTTTATGTTTTCAAGTTCTTTTTTATGGATGGAAGGAACTTCTGTACTATATGATACTAGGCTTGCTTTAAATCATATTCGGTATTATTATGAGGTGATGTTCCAATAGTTAGGTTGTAAGCTTGTATATCTGACCATTGATTCTTTGCTTCAATGCGAGTGGGCATGCAACAATACTCCGAGAGTTCTGCATAGGATCAGTGTCCCTGCTCTTCTTTTTAAATTTTGTTTAAGTAAGAAAAAACTTGAGCAGTTGAGAACAATTCTTTAAATTTTGAACCAAGTGAGTGTTAGGGAGGAATTTAGAAAGAAAAGCTGGATCAGAGATTTTACATGCTTAACTGAGATTATTTCTGATCGCATTTTCATGCCTTTGCCTTTAATGTCCCCTAACAAATATTATTTGAATTTTGTCTTAATATTAATTCTTGCTTTTATTTCTTTTGAAGGTGCCTCTGGGTTGTGTTACCCCATTTGCACTTGTGAATGACTCAGCGCGGTAAGGCCTTGGGTTCCTCTAGGGTCAATGTCTATGACTATATTGTTTACATTATTGTTGTCTGTTGACGTACTTTTTCTTGAATACAAGAAAAGTTTATTTTTCTAACTGTTTCTTTCTTTCTTTTGTAAAGGCATGTTTGCTTGTTGTTAGATCAAGGATTCAAATCTCAAGAATGTTGTTTTTTCCATCCATTGTCTAATGACATGACAGTTGGTGAGTTATCAAGACTGTAATAGGCTAAATTATCTTTTCAATACTTTTTTTTTCTTATTACTCAGAAGTGACCATGTGCGAATGAATTTGTGAGCAACTAGTTGCCACATGTCCAAAAAGTTGACGCCTGTACAACTGTTCACTTTTCTTATTTTGTATATTTATAGAAATATTTATGCTGGTCATGTTTATTTGGAGGGTGTTTGGTGGAGATTAAAATTAGATTTTTAGTAGATTGTGATTGAAGTTTTTGAAATGTGTGGTTGAAAAGTTGTGGGACCATGAAAGATGTGGTTAATATTGATTGTTTGACTTTGACTTGGATTAAAATCAGATTTTAATCTTGACCAAATAGGGGCTTGGTATGATGCTGCCTGCACTGAATGGTAACTTGATAAAAGAGCAAGGTTTTTGAGAATGACATTATAGATATAAATCTTCTCAGCCATAATTTATCAGGTTTCACTGAGTTCTTTGGGAGTACTTTTGCTAAAAAAAATTACTTATTCATTTTTCCTTCTCTTTGGAGTCAGTATAGTTGGCATTTGATTTGATGCTTGAAAGGCACAATATAAGCTAAAGATTAGCCATTTTATGTGAGGCGTGTTAGTAGGGAAAAAAAATTTGAAGTCAGTCCACTCTCAGCAATAGTTTCATGTTAGAGTGTTTAAAATCAATTAACACTCAGCACCACAAAAAATTCCCAAACTTTAGTGTTTCTGATTACGATTTTTTTTTTCTTCTCATGTGTAATTGCTGCCCACAGCTATTAATTCCCGTGATCTTGACAAGTTTCTGAATTCAATAGGAAAAACCCCAGCCTACATTGACCTAGAGGTAATTACAAGATCAGTTAGTTGGGTGAATAATGAATATAGCTGCTTGGTTAATGATATTTTTATTTGAACTTATTGTTTTGCATTCACAGGCAAACCCTCCAGTAGGGAAGGATCAACCTCCTGACTTGGCTGGTCTTGTTCCATCAGATGCGGTAGTCTTGCCTGGCCCTCCAGAAAAAACAGCATCTTCTCAATGTCCTGAAAAGAATAATATCTCAGTGAATAACAAACCAACAGCCAATGCAGGTATAGTTTGCAAGTAAGCGAATTGCTTGTTTATTTTTTATTTCAATACCTGATAATTTTAATATATCAAGTTTTAATGGTCACATTGAGGCAATGTTTGGATAGCAAGAGTTGAGGTTCAGAGTTGATTTTATTCTTTATTTATCCCATTCCCTGCTTGTTGCACTAGATTACACCCGATCTTCTTTGACTACTTATATAAATAATTTGTTAACCTTTTCCCATTGGACTCTTAGCTCTTTAAGGAAGATTTTACTATAGTCTTATACTCCTAACCGATACTCCTATCGGCAAATAGGTTTTCGATTTATAGGGGAAGATAATAAAGTATTGCAGTTCACCTCGTGCTTCCATCAAACGAAGCCCTCGGCTCCCACTATGTTAACATAAGACATAAGGAAGTTCTTTCAAACAGAAGGAAGTCCCACTTCATTCCAAAATGGTTTTGTTTTGTCCCATTTCCTGAGTTANTGTGATGTGAGAATTCGGCTTACGTATAGTTGCTTATAACTACTGTTTGTATAGCCAAAGAATAACATGGGTGCTTCCTATATATGTGCTTTCTTGAGTGCGGGTTGAGGTTAGTGGTTGTGGCTCGACTAGGTGGCATGGGTAGAGCTATCTTGCTTTCCTCCACACAATCGGACGCGCTCTCGTCACCCCTATGCACGGTATGCCTTTGTTGATCTATTTTGACAATGCATATGAATGTCTCTTTCTCCCCCATCTCTCGAACCACTTTATGATTCAATGCTCGTTTGAATTCCTTTGAGCTATGAAGCTCATGTTTGGGCTCCATTTATCCAAAAATACATTTTTTCGGAATTCATTTTCAATTGCATATTCTTCTGTAAAATAACGTTACACGTAAATTCAAAATTTTTCCTTATTTTTTAATCACACATTCTTGAAAAAATCACTAATCCAAAACACATTTTTCCCTAAAATCTCATTTTAATGGAGTTCAAACAAGGGCTAAGTTTTCATCTGACCATGTGAATTTGTGCATGTTTCATTTGTTAATGAACAAGCATACGTGCCTAGCAAATCACTCTGTTTTCTGGACTCAAATCTTGACATTGGATACATTGTTCCAATGCCTTTTTAATACATCTTTCACTCTTCTTAAAGCTGTACCACATATTAAATGTACTTCGCTTGCTATAAAATTCTAGATCCTCTACTGGTAGTTGATTTCATTAATGAACTGTCCATTGCCTTACTTCATAACTAGCTTATACATTATGCGCGTATAGTCGGATCTGAGATTAGGTTTTTTGCGGTTTCATGTTACGAGATTCTGCCCAAAAAAATACATCGTAATCAGTTGCTGACTCAATTTGGTAAGCTTTGTTTTCCTAATTGAAGAAAGAAGTAGAAAATAAAACCTTGGGCTCAAAAATGTGTAGTAAATCCCCAGTAGAGAACATTGTAGCTGATTCAGAAAATGATTGAATCTTGGGTTTTCAGAGGGTAATTATTTTTCCTTAATTTCCTTTTCTTTGTGCAAATCGATCTTTGATGATTGATGTGATATGGGGACTATACATTGCTTTGTTATGTAGCAAAAGCTGTAAAACCATCCAATGCTTTCCAAATGGAGAAATCAGACAGTGCTGTGAACTTGTCAAGCTCCTTTGGTGACGCTGAAAAACTTGTTGAAGAAATCTTGGAGAAGACGACATCCATAGTCCTTTCTGAGGTTAGTAGAATATTGTATTATGAAATCGTTACTTAAAAAATGTAGCATTCATTTATGATGATTTTGACCATGTAGGTCAAAGAGGAGAACATGGAGAAATATCGGGATCAACTGGGTACCATGGTATCAAACAGTATTAGAAATCAGCTCTCCGTGGAGTTGAAGAGCATACTTGTGAGTACCAAAATTTCCTCCTTTCTAATTTACTTGAATGTATTTTCATGTATAGTATTATTTTCTTTATGAATTTCTGAAAGTGTGTGGATAGCAACTGCTCTTGGGCATTTGTTGCTTGATATTATGTACTATTTGTTGTAGTAGTTGCTAATCATTGTCTACCTGTAACATCCAAATTTGCACTCTTGAAAGTCATTAGTTGTTAAGCACTGCACCCATTTTACAAGCAATTAACTGAGGCATTTATTTGGATTTTAACAGGGCTTCTAATTTTGTGAGTGTTTTTAACATTCCCTTTTCCTTATTTTTACTGCTGAGCGCAGAGTCCATAGTAATCATTTGATAATGTCTTATTTGTGCTTTATGATTTAGAACTGACCTCTATTTTCACTGTCCCTCTCGAAAGCTTTCCTGGTTTCTGTAATTAGATATGATCCTATAATTTTGGCTTATCGGCTCATTTATAACCTAAAATTCAATTTATCTTTGTACTTCATTAAAGTTGCTCTCTATATTGCAGTCAATGTTCAAGAACACATCATATACAGAAGGCTTCTATGCTGGGACTCATCATCAACCCAAAAGAATGTGAAATCTATCAGCATTGATCGTGACAGATACACAAACATCGAGATTGAGAGAGAAGAATTGTTTGATCGACCATATGAATTACATCTCAATTGATTATTGAAATTACAGTCTTAAATTAGTAAACCTCTTCTGAGGGATACTTAACAGTTGTTTTAACTCTGGTGTGCCTGCTTTTACAATTCTTCTCCTGTATGACAGTTCTATATTGACTGCAGATTTTGTGGATCTTCAGCTTTTAGCTTCGCCATCATTTATGTATACATAAAACAGTTAGGCTTCAGTTGAAAATGCAATTTACAGGAAGTTACAATGTATTTGGATAGTGTGTGATAATCAGAGATTGGTAGCAATTACGAAATACAATCTAATTCTCCATCCCTTTACTTGCATCGAGATCATGCTACATGATTGTAATGAACTGCGCTTTCAATTCTGTTCGTGGTGAGATGTTCTTGTGCCACCATCATGTGGATGAAGAGATCAATATCTTGATCGGAATGGCCACATATTGCCCAGTTGACTCAGCCTCCAGTGCCGCTGGTCGAGACCACCGCCTTCCTCACGAGAATCGCTGGATGAATCTGCTGGAATTTGGCTCCGGTTTGCACTCAGAACCGGCAGCTCGAGACCACCACCTTCCTCACGAGAATTGCTGGATGAATCTGCTGGAATTTGGCTCCGGTTTGCAGGAATTTGACTCAGAACTGGCAGCTCGTGGCGGCAAATCGGGCAAGAATTGTGAAGCCTCAACCAAGGGACAATGCAATCAGAATGGTATATATGGTTGCATGGAAGCTCCCTTGCTTCAGTTCCCAATTTAAATTCTTCTTTGCAAACTGGGCATTCTGAACTGGTAGCCAAATGGGATGGCTTAATTTCCATTGTCGGAATCGCATCAATAGCCGATTCTGGCGCTGGAGGTGCCCCTGGCCTGTCGTTCTGAGCAAGTTCTTCAATAAGTTGGTCAAATCCAGGGCCCACAAAGTAGTTCCTGTGTTGCACCCTAGGTGGTATCAGCCCTTCCCGCAATGGATTCCGACCACCGGCTGGTCTGAGAATGATCCAGGTCCAGAGACGGGCTAGAATCCCAGTTTCGGGTCTCCAATCATCCCCGTTCTCACCAAACAAATTGTTTCTTCTTCTCGGCAATAACCATCCCCTTCGGTTTGCAGGCTCGGATCCTTCCCTATGATGTCTTGTGTAAAGAACACGACTTCTTTGTGTAGTTCCTCGATCATTTCTTCTTCTATCCATGTCGGGATTTTGCAATCCATTTGGTGGATCAAACAAGAGGGACAATGCTTCAAGAATTCGGGCCCAAGGGGAGGTATCAAATGCAGTGAATTCAAGAACCGGTCTAGTTCTTCCCATGTCGATTTCAAGAAGGAACTGGCCGAGGCACCGTGGACAAGCCATCTCGGACAGGTTGTCTGAGGCAACACGGACTATCCGATGACAATAGTAACAACAATAGAGCCGGTAGTTTCTGGTGGCATCGGCAGTTCCTCTTGGAGGGCTCAAAGACATGATCTCGTGAGCTTCGAATATACCCTAACAACGAAAAGTTTCTTGTTCAATCTATCGCAAGTTTTTCGAAAAATTCAGATGAAATATTAACATATGATTAGAGAAACCTTTTAGATTAGATATTCAAGTTTTATATTGAAGGGAAAAGAATGGCTTTTTGGAGTTGCATAAAGTCATTCTGTCTTGCCTTTTGTTCATATAATTTGCATCTTCTATAGAAAGAAAAGTACTGGGGAGGTATTTTCCCCTAAATTTTTGAATAAGAGTGATTTAATATGAGTTCTAAATGAGCTAACAAAAGCACAAAATCTTGATCGAGTCGAGTAATGATTACTTGCGATCCAAGTACTCGTACTCCAAAAGTCTGAGATCAGTCAGTATCAAGAAATTATTAATCGTGGGCTTGCATTCTATTGCTCGAATGCTTGGGAAATACGATTTCTCCCAATGCCACGTGAATTTATTTGCATAACTGCTGGTCGACAAGCCATCACAAGGATTGTATACATAACGGCTGGTACTTGTTATAAGTAGCTAAAGACTGCTGCTGCTGAATGTTTATCAACAGCACATTATTCTGCATACTTTGGACAACACAAGCATTTTCGAGATTTTTTTGATTGAGCATACGTATGATTTATCGAAAGGCCTGATTATGAATGTTCGTGCTTTTATCAAACTTGTTTTCAACTTTCTTGATCCCATTTTGCAAATATGAATACAGATTGAAAGTTCTGTTTTCGTGTCATCTCAAGCCCTCCGCTTGTAGGATTCAATCACATCTTCAAAGTCATTACGATATCTAGGCCAGATAGTAGGCTCACTTGGTTCGTTGCCCTTGTTGGCTCATAGAAAATCAAGCAGATTTTGAGTCTTTGACACCACATAGAATAGATTATTCTTCAGCTTTCTTCTCCATATTCTTCCTTTCTCATAGATTGCCCTTCGTGCGCTTTCATTAAATCCAATCGAAACAATGTCTGATCCTTTTACAAAAAACAAGAACAAACTACAAAAGCATGTAAACTTCAATGTTTCCCGTCCAATACTTGTACAAAAAATGTCAAGGGCCTTATACGATAATTACTTCTACGCAGAGTATCGTAAACTCAGAAATAGCAATGAAGTTCTCATCATCGGCGATATGTAAATTGAAGTTGTTTCCAATTCTTGTAGTTTTCTTGTTGGAAAAAAAAAATTTATTTGAAGATTGAGTTTTCATTTTTACACTGCTGACATTGTCTTTTATGGCAAGTGAAAGAAAATTGAATTACGGAAATTAGTAAATACTAAAATAATTATATTTCTTCCGATATTATTAAACTAAGGAAATTTTTCATACATTTAGCGAGATGTCCAAGCCCAACGCATATATAAGTGAACAACAAAAAATGCTTCGATTGAAATTCATCTAATTTTCAGTGCTATTTCTGAAAAAAGATTCTTTTAACTTTTGTGGATTGGGCTTCAGCCTATATATTGTAGGGAAATTATAAAAAATCGGGTATTTAAATATTAGAGTGCAAAAATCAGGTGAGAATATTTTTTAATCAAAATTCAGGTATTGATTTAAAAATTAAATATTATTTTCACCCTACCCAATCACAATCTCAAACCCTAAATCATTTTTATCAATTCATTTCTCCCCCTCTCGCCTCTCTCTTCTTTCCTCTTCTCTCTCTTCCTTCTCTCACTCCCAACGATCGACGCTCCTCTCTTCTCCCTCATCCTCTTCTGTGTTGCCTGCTACAGCACCAGCAGCAGCCCTCTTCTGTGTCGCCTGCTACACGAGCAGCAACAGCCCTCCTCTGCGTCGCTTGCTATAACCAGTGCTGGTGTTGTGGAGGTGGTGCGCTTTGCGGCGATCTGGAAGCGTCGCCGGAGACACCACCGGAAGCCGTCACTGGGAGCGCAGTCGATGAAGCCTTGCATCCCACCGTTTGTCCTTCACTCCGCTGTTCGATGAAAGGCGTTGCGAGATCTGGTGCACTGTGATGTTCGATCCGGTGGCGCCGAAGTTTTTGGGGGGGGGGGGGGATTTTGTTGGTAGTATTTGCAGTCTTGACGGCGGCTGTGATAGTGGTTGTGTTGATGGCGCTCGTGAGGTGGTGGTTGTGTTGGTAGGGGTCGTGATAATCTTGGACCTGTTTTGTTTATGGTGTTTGCGTAGTGGTGGTTGTGATGTTGAGTGCTGTGGTGTGGTGGTTGTGGAAGTGGAAGTGGTGGCGATACCAGCTTTTTGGGTTTTTTTAAATTTTTTGTTTATGTTTGTAAGTTTCAGATCTAGTTTGATGGTGGTGCTGCTAGTGGTGATATTGTATTCGTGGTGTTGTATTGTTATTGTTGGTGGTGGTGGTGGTTGTGGCAGTAGCGAAGGGATGAAGAGTGTTCGTGATTTTGATTTTGTGACTAAAAATATAATATGTAACCTTAAAATTCAGTAATCTGTAACTAAAAATATAATTTGTGACCAACATTTTTTTATCTGTAATTTAAAAATTATATAATCTGTGACCGTAAAAAAATATGCGACCAATTAATTTGAAAATCTGTGATTGTGTGACCTATAAATTTTAATATGTGACCAACTACTTTTGAAATCTGTGACCAACGAATTAATTGTGACCTATAAAATTCTTGAACTGTGATCGTAAATTGTAAATATATGTCCAGAATGGTCACCAGAATTGGAGCAGTCGTCGGAATGGTCGTCGAAGAAGAGTGGTGGTCGGAATGATCGCCGGAATAATCCCCGGAACGGTATGGGTGGTGCATGTGGGATAAGTTAACTATATTATATTAGAATTAAATATTTAATAATAAATTGATTTAATAATTCATTATTTCATGAAAAAAAAAAACCAATAAATATTTAATAATAAATTGATTTAATGATTTATTATTTCATAAATTAAAAAAAAAAAAACCTGATTTTTGAATTTTCAAATTATAAACCTGATTTTTGAATTAATGTAAAGTATACACCTTATTTATGAATTTTTCCCTATATTATAAACCAAATTTTCATACGGGCTGGATTGTGGTTACATGGCTTCTGTTGCAGATTCTACTAGAGATGGGCCGGATGGCAGTTGAGCAGCAAAGCAGTCGTTACCATTTTTTCCCTCTTAGGAATTTTGGGATACAGTCTGGGAATAATTATTTAGTTAATTTTATTTTGTTTTAAAAATAATAATTTAAATTGAAAAACATAAAAATAAAATAATATATAATAAAATAAAAGATTCTAGGTAGGTTCGGAGAATTGAGGACGAGAGCCATGCTCTTCGTCCCTTCTCCATTTACTACTCTGGTCGGAGCTGCAATTTTTATGTAACTACTTGTAATGCTATTTTGTCAATTCTCATTTGAAAAAGCGAACATTTGAATTAATTATATTCGATCCTAAGTGGAAAGATCAAAACATGGATTCAATTAGTCTCTAAGGCTATACTATATCAAGTAGTTGAGCGTATTATCGATCCGTTCGTTTTTACTTTCAACTTGCTTATTAATTATAGCCCAAATAATCAAAATTAATTAATTGGTTATTGAAATGGTGGAAGTGGCAGGTTACTCAACCAATAATCAATCTAAAATAGATATGTACTGATTTTGTGACATTGACAAATTTGGTACTCATTAATGAAAAGGATTTGGTCAATGTGTTGCATAAAAAAATGCCACACAAATTGATCGTGTTTGTTTCAGTCCTCACATGGTTATGCAGAGGAAGATATTGCCATTAATGTTCTTTACAAAATTTCAAGTACTTTCAAAGTCATGTACACATCATATATACATGATACTTGAATTGGAGCCTGTTTGAGTCAGTTTTTTGTCCCGAATGCAATTTGGAATAGTATTTTGATGAAGAATTAGTAATTAAAAAATAAGGAAAGATTTTGAATTTGCAGGTAATATTATTTTATTGAAAAATGTGTGATTGAAAATAAGAGATTAAAAAAAAATGTTGAGTTCATGAATAAATTTACGGTGGATCGTAGAAATTTTGATTAGATTTGTTGAATTAATGTGTCTTGTCTATGCAACGATACTCAATATGCCATTCTTATGATTTAATTATACGAACATAACATTTCACTTTTACTTAGATGATCGTATCTAATATGTTAATGGTCATTTAAAACTTGAATTATTAGGTAGGGGACACCAACATGCATCGTTGCTTAGAAATCGATTTTTAATGGTGTGACGTAATTTTTATAAATGGATGATAACAATAGTATCTTTTTCTCATACTTTGAAAAGTCAAGTTGTTAGAAATGATATACGTCAACTTAAATATTATCTTTGATAAAATATGTTATTTTGGTATGACTGATAGAACCATACTCAATAAGCAGAACGCATAGTTGTTCGTTCTCAGATTAGACAGTAATGGTCGAAGAAGGACAATCACCCATTCTTAAAAATCGGTGTTCTTAAGATCAAAGAGTCGAGCGAAAAGATGGGAAAATTCTCCTTCATGATCAATTGAAACTTCCAGAACCACGAGAATCCTTAATTTAAATATAATTTCAACGCAATATCTTTTGAGTGAAATTTTGAGAAGAGTTTTAACGTAATTTTCAAAATACACGTGACATGGCTCAAATAGAGATATAGATTCACATCATTTTCTATATACCTAGGAGGGAAGAAAAATTGAAAGGCAATTTTGTGAAATCCATTAATTAATCTCACTTTATTAGACCGACGTTTGCACTAAAGTCAAAAAAGGAGATTGAATTAGGTGACTTAACACGGTCCATAATTACTCACAAGGAAAATAATTTGAAAAAATCAGAAGAAAATTTAATTGTACGAAATTATTTTCAACTACTTTAATTTAAAATTCATGTCGTGATCACTTTAGACTACCGAGGTCCATTGTACATTTCTTATAGTTTGTAAAGTCATTATGGTTGTTTGAATTAAACATTTCAAAATTAACACAAAAATTGTCAAAGGAAACTATGTGCATAACTGCATATGTAAGTACAAGAAAATATGTTTATTTATGTTTAAGAGGTGACTAAATCCACGTTTGGTTAAGATAAAAATTAAATTTTTTTAGTAAATTTTAGTACAAGTTGATGACATATGCAGTTCAAATTAATTGTTGATTTTGATTTAAATTTTACTCTTAACTATTTAGTTGAACCAAACAGGGATTAACAAATGTCCAAGTTTCTTAGAGTTAAATTGAAAAGAGGGATTTGATATTGATAAGTATCTAACGTATCTGTAATAGATTTTTAGTCAACAACTAAACTATCGAGCAAGAACGTTGAGATGAAGATCGAGCCATGCCACAAGTCTTGAGGCCCGCCAACTTCTTCGATTTCGGGCGGAGAAAAGTGGAGGTGGGGACATGGGATTTCAACCAAACGACTAATGAATACAAGGCCATTGATTTTCTAGGCTAGGGTTCTTCATCAATGATCACTAGACATTTATCTTTTATGTGTGATGAAAGTGGGGCCACCTTTTTCAAAAATACTATGCAATGTTAGTCCAAAATTATCTCATTGACATTTCAAAATAAAGTTTACATTTGATTGTTGGTTGTGGTTATCAAACATGTATGATATTATTTTCAATCACTTTATATAAAAATTCGAACTTTAAAAAAAATTATTTATTTGTACTTGTATCTTCGAAGGTAAATATTTCAATAAATTATACTGAGTTCGCTATAACTCATTTTTATAAACTATAACTTGTTTGGTCGTGACTTGTACGATCACGTCACTCAAATTAGTAAGATATTATGAAAATTTTGTAATAGTTGAAATCTTCAAAAAATAATAGAATTCTAATGCAACTTGGCCATTGGCATAATAAAATAACATATTCATATAGTGAATAAATTATTCCGATGACATCAAAGCGTGCATAGTTAATGTTCTAATCGAATAAAATGAATTTATAATTCACCAGAAAAAATGTTTTTCAACGTAAGAATATCTATTTATCGGTCCGAAAAAATATTATTAAACTCGACACGATTCTTGTGAGGACTGGCCTGAGTTACTCGATGTGATTACGTTGTTAATTTTTATAACTTATTATAAATAATATTTAAAAAAAAAAGGTTAGTTGAAAGGGATTCCAACCCACTGCGTGGTCTAGGCCGGTGTTGGGCAGGCGGTTCAATTTTACACCACTTGTCAAATTTCAAGTTTACAAGTATGTTAAGACTCTTTAATTTTAAAGTTAAATTCATTTTTCCAAGGAAAACAAAATTGGAGTAACGTTATTCATTTTCAGTGGGGATGAAAACACAGTTTATGTGACATTTAATACCACATTAACGCCACATAGACTGTGTTTTCATTTTCAGTGAAGATGAAAAGCATTACTCACCAATTTATAGTCAAACATGTTTAAGATCAAAATTTAATTGGATAGAAATAGGTAGGAGGAACATGCTGACATAATATCCACAAAAGAACAAATTTAATGTATATTATTAAATGCATATTTCATATGTCATAATGTTTCTTGTCGTGGGGTCACTATGTTTTAATGATATTTCATATAATAAAACGGTTTGGTCATGGCTGATGTACGTACTTCTTCTTTATTAGGATTTTAACCATACAAAGGAATAAAGAATAATGATATTTAGCATCAATGATATTGAACGAACATCTGTCTAAATGCCAGCCGCTCATATGTCCTGTTAAACTTGAAATTTAAAGTCACTAGTACTGACACTTATATTAGTGTTAAACATCATTGATGTTAAATAACGTAAATGAATCGGGATTATATCTAGCCCATGTTTAGTGGTGATTAAAATTAAATTTTTGTTAGATTTTAATAAAAATTGATAAAATGTATGTTTGAAAAGTTGTAGGATCCATAAATTATGTCGTTAAAATTAACTGTTGATTTTAACCTAGAATTTAACCCCTACCAAGAAGGGGCTAGTAAATTTACGTTAAAAATTGGTCGAAAGACCAGTAATATTTTAATTTAAAACCCTAAAAAACAGTGCTTTACTGGTTCACCTTTGAAGAATGCATGTGGGGGTGGTTGGAACTTGGAAGTTTAAAAATGCAAGAGATTTGAATCTAAAGCAAATGGAAGAAAGATGAAGAATCTGCATAGGCTTGATTTGAAAATTGAAAATAAGTAAAAGTTGTTTCCTTTACCCTACTAGAATAATTGGTTACACAGAGATTGTGGATCAAGCTCCAATCGAGCATGTGCTTGCATAAGAATAATGGCAAAACCCTACATTATCCTTACTTAAAGATGACAAGGCACATGGGACCCTTGCACAAAATATGAATAGATAAGGTTTTAGACGACGATTTAACATGGTATCTCAATAAAACAAACGATTTAACTAATGACAAATTACGTACTTGTCAAACTTTTAATGAAAAATGAACAAGTAACATAAACAAGTTAATCTCATATTTTGCACCGCCTATAAGGAGAGACTCCAAAAAAAAGTACCAATGCAACATTATATGAATCCTTCATTGACATTCTATTTAGTTCGCCCGATCTTTGCTATATTTCATATATTGTGTTAATTTTGTTCTACTCCTTCCTCTTGTAACCTAATCTATTGAAATTGCATCACCCTTACGAACAGAAATCTCTTTAACTTAGTTCCATAATTTATTTATTCTCAACCGGTGCTACCTCCATTTATTGGAGACAATTGTCTCAGGACATTTGAAATAAATAATTTGTCTATGACACCAGCATTAAGTTTTGAGTTTGTTTCCAAGATGCCTTTCTATTTGTCACAATGCATGGTGTTCAAAAGCATTAGATTTAGCTTGCTTGAAAATGCCTTTTGATTTCACATGAAAAGTTACCATAGATTTTCAAGATAAAATATATGACTTTTACATATGTTTTGGGTTAAGGGATCAGCATATTTTTAAGGTGGTAAGATCCTTCATGTTTGTTTTCACATTGCTGGTATACATATCTATGTCATGGGTAAGGAAAACTACCCATCAAGAAAGCAACTTGCTTACTTAGAATCTCCTATTGTGTATGTGAGGCATATCTACCAAGTGATGGCAAGTTTATTTAGAGGGAAAGGAAAGTGAAGTGGACAAATTATCAATAATTAGTAGCTCATCCTCGTAAAGGTTGTGGAATCTATCGAGCTAACCTCAATCAACCCGACTTGAAAGAATGAATTATATTTTATTCGTTCAAATTTAATTGTTTTTCAATAAATAAAGTTATTAAGAACTCATTTACGTTGCATTGGAAATTCCTCTAATCCCTACTGATCATTGTCTTTTAGTGTGTCCCTCTATAGAGAATCGATTACATATACCCCTTTAGTATCTTACAATGTAGGGCAAAATAATCTAAGTATAAATTTGTTAGGAATTAAGCCTAATACCTTTTCATGAGTGTAATACAAGGAAAAATAAAAATTTTACAATGATTCATCCTCAATTCGAGAATTACATCTTAGTGTAAGTACAGAATTCACTATAATAGAAAAGAATGGTAGAAAATTATTCTCACGTCTCTCGCACCTTACCTCCTAAAATTCTTCATACACGCATATCAAATACCTAACGTACCAAGAAAAAACTCCATATCGACACAAGTATACAATACGATTAAGCTCCAAATCGACAAAAATTCAAGTGAAGTTTTAAAACTCAAAAGTCGAATATTTAAATATTCTTTTTCCATCATATATTATTTTACTTTTTCTTTCTTCTCTATTTTCATTGAATTCTGAGTAAGAACTTAATGTTTGCTGCTTCTTGAAGCATTGATCATTTCCAGAAACTGCACTAACATTGAGATAGGATATTCATAGAATTGTTACAAGAAATGATGCTGTAAGAGACAAGCCAGGATCAAAACTAGGGTGTCTCATTATTACAAAGCAGAACATAATAATTTAGAGCCTCATGGTTTCAACCCCACCAGAAAAAAACATGGCACGATAGCAAGTGGACTCAAACTTTACTGAAAATTTTGATTGTCCATTCATGTATATATACTTGGCTATATGTACAGGTTACAGTCGATGACCTTGACAGACTCGACCTCCGGTGAGCTTTTGCTAATCGGGGAGCTTGTATTTGATTAGGTCGTTTTACAATGCAGATATTGTCACTTTACATTTTCAGGCCAATAATGACCTATAAATCGCAAAATTTTCCATCAATCCTGTTCTGAACGGCTTTGACAGCAGCTACTCGGGATGCTGTGGCAGCTTTGTTTGCAGCCATTACGGCCTTGTTCACTTGTTCATCCACCCGACTCAGGTGTATTGCATTTTCTGCCCTTTTCCTTGCAGCCTGCAACAATTCAAGAGGGAAAAAGGAGGGAGTCAGGGAATATCTATCAAGTCCCGTCTGATACTGCATAATGAACGTGCAAGATATGAATTAAAAGTTGAGGTCGTCACCTGAACTGCTTGAAGAACTGTATCTGTTAATGATGGAAGGGGAATCTTGAGATTGCCACTATTCCATTCGCCACATCTCGTCTCACCACTTCGAAATGTATACATGCCATAACCTTGTTTACGACCTTCATGCCATGATCCCTCGTAGCAGTGACCATTTGCAAAGTGATAAACTCCAAAACCATGGATTTTATCCCCAAAATACTCCCCAGCATATCGATCTCCATTTCTATTAAACATTCGAAATTTCATCATTAAGATTAGAAATATAACCAGCAATCCTTAAGATGGCATTACAGCACATCTATTGAAAGATCAAAAGAAATCAAATTCAAAATTCAGAAAGGTATTTTCAAGTGTGAGAACTGGAACAGATACGTGCTATCACGAAAAGCAGCTTTTAAGTACAACTTAGCTAAAAAATTTAAAATCAAGAAATATACAGCAAAAATACCCACTATAATTTAATACAAGAATTGACTCTAAAAACTGCATTAAAGTCTTGAAAAATTATAAAAGAACCAAACATATTTAATCTTTTATGTCTCTATTCACATAAAATGTAAGGCATTGAAACAGAACAGAAGTAGGAATACTTAAAAGATTCTACAATAAAAAATCACAGTATATTCAAGATTCAAGCAATTATTCAAACCTGAAATGGTAACAGCCAAAGCCATGCTTAACACCACACTTGAACTCTCCAACGTAACAGCTCCCATCTGCGCACGTCTGCGCCCCAACACCATGGCTCTGCCCATTACACCACTCTCCGGCATAAGAATCGCCGGTGTAGAACTTGTAAACTCCATATCCATGCCTCAAACCCTGCCTATATTGACCACGGTATCGACTCCCTTTCGCCCAACTCTCTATTCCATACCCATCATATCTTCCATCAATCCAGTCTCCTTCATACCTTCCATTGACAAAGTAACTGTAAACTCCACTCCCATTGCACCTCCCTTTGTGAAATTCACCTTCGTAAAAGTCGCCATTGCTGTAAAATTGTACCCCTTCTCGTATAATCTTCTTGGCGTACTCCTTTTTGCTCTCTTTTTTACCCAAATCAGGTTCACCAATGAACCACTGCACCGGTTTTGAATGATGTTTTGAAGTAAAACAAGAAAGCCCAACTCTTTTTGCATACTCGTCACACGATTGCTTGAAGATATTGAAGTTTTGGTGAATTAAGGCCAAGTTTTTCGAGGCGAAAAAGAGCAAAACTGCTACAAAAATTAGGACTAGAAGCAGGTTTTCTGAGGTAGGAATATCATCCCTGTTGAAAAAAGCGAAAATGGTGTACACGGAAAGTAAAAGAATTGCAACAAACGGAGCCAAACCGGATCTGGAACCGGGTCTAACCAGTGGCAAACTTGGCTTGCCATGTGGCTTCTGCTCCTCTAGGTCCTCTGTTTCTCTATCAGGTGTGATCTCGCACACCGAAGAAAAGCTATGGATATATGATCGGACGGTTGGGGATGACCGGAGAAGAGAAGATTGGGTCCTAGTAAGCTTCGCCTGGCTCTTATGGCCGTCCATTTTCTAATATTTGGTGTCTGCTAAGTTCTTCCTTTTCTTGTTACTGTACCCACCTCCTGTATCTTGATATTCTTATCATGTACTCCGACGCCGGTTTCATCTCCGGTGGTGATGCGCAGGATAAGCAGCGGCGAAATGGCGAAGCAGCGCGCCCGTTAAGTTTGTTTTTCCAAAGAAGAAAAAGAGTATTTTTAGAGAGAGAGAGTAGTTATGGAATTGTTCAGAATGGACCGGGTTTTAAGAGTCGTGAATTTATAAGTGCAGAAAAGGGGTGAAGTGGGGCCACCTGGATTTGCTTTGGACCGTTGATTGAATCCACGGTCAAAATTAATGTACGTTTCAGCATTTTTATTTATTTTCTTTTTAAAAATTAGATTTTGGGTTTTCATTTTTTGTTTATTAATTTTTGGGTAGATGAAAAACAATGTGGGTATGGTTTGACGTTGGAGTGTTTGTTATAGGTTGAACCAAACGGTGCTACGCACCATATCTGTCCGTTGGATTGGATCTTGATTATTCATGTCTATCTTTTGGACCACTGAATAATCATTCTTAAGATTTTCCGAAAATAATTTTACTTATGCAAAATTAGTAGTTCAAGTCTTCAAGATAGATAAGCGTCTTATGCGTTAATCTTGGTTGGAAGGGATTAAAATTAGATTAAAATTGAAAATATAGCTGTTATTGTTGACTTTTATTATACGAGTGAAATCCAATAACGACTATATTTTCAATTTTAATTGAATTAAAATCACACCCAAACAAGCTCTTCAGCTTGTCTTTCGAACTGCATTGCTGCTACACATGACATTTGTAGTAGTCACATTTTTCTCTCATAATTATTGAAAGTGTGCAGATTGAGATATACTAAACAATATAACTGTTATATGTATCACAAGTTCCTCGTTAATCCAACCTTGTTCCAGCTAGTATGAGTTAAATTGCTTTATTTTACTTAGAATAACTAGTATTAAAAAAAATAACGTACAAAAAGTCTCACACGTGACTCGTTAAACCAGTCTTGTTCCAAATACACACGTGATACGTGTATTGGTTTAGTCTTTTACTCGTAATTATTAAAAACGTGCAAACCGAAAATCGCTAACGGAGAAACATTTCACATGTTACTCATTAATCTTATTTTGTTCCAACTAGCCAGAGTTTGATAGCTATATACTTATTATCTACATTTTATCTATCACCCTTCTATTAATTATTGTATAAAATAAGTGTGGATTTCTTCCTAACAATATTAATCAATTGATGATAAAATAAGTGCTAATAACTAAGATGATCAATGAAAAACGTTAAAGAGAAATAGGGTTAGTGATTAAATAATAATTATTGGCTATATAAATATTTTGTCATAATTAGGAGGATATATTTATTTATAATTCTAACTAAGATTTAAGACCCTTTAAAGGTAATATAATAAGTTTATTTGTACATCAGTATTAGCTGTAATTTCTAATCATGTTGACAGATGAGCAAATAAGGAAAATAATTTAATATTTCTAATTTTTATTTTTATTTTTTTTTATTTCATTTGCATAGTTGTTGTATATTAGTAGGATAGAGATCCATTCAACTAATGTGTTAGGCTCATCGAATGTTTGGTATAAATAATTACATTTAAATTGAACCAAATATTCAAGTTGAGTATATGAAAGATGAAAGATGAAGCAATAATCTTACACAAAATGAATATTTCTGTATTCTATATTCCACACATAAAAATTCATAAAAGCAAAGCTATAGTATTTACTTATAAGTAAATTTTGAACTGATAACGTCCCTAAAAATATAGTATTCATTGAAAAGAATAAAAATATCAGACAAAATATTGTCTTTTTTTTTTGTAATTCTTGATAAATCGATCTTAGGATCCAATTGATTGATTTTAAATTCCATGAAGAATATCACATCTGAGAAATTTAATTTTTACTTTGACTGTTTGATACGAAAATGAAAATGAAGCTCGAATTTCAAGGTACAACCACTTTAAGCTTGTTTTTTGCCAATTTCTTGAAAAATGCATTCCTATGGAGTATTTGAATTTTTATTTTCCAACTTACATGGAATTGGAAAGTCTTTCCACATTTGCCAATCAAACGTACCCTTAGTTTCATAGAGCAATAGACAGGCTTGAAGTGGCTCATTACATACTAAGAAATATTTGTAACATAACATCCATGTCGACTCTAATAACATGTTGAATCATCTCATCCTCTTGACTGCAATGTATATAAGGTTGTTGGGAATAAATTACTGCGGCATCAAGTATCAGCCTAATTATTTCTTCAATAGCTTCTTCTTCATCCTGTCAACTGCACTTTTCAGAGTCTCTTCATCTTTGCAGAAGGTAAATCTCACAAGATTCTTCCCTTCTTCTGGATTTAGATAGAACACGCTGGTCGGAATTGCTACAACGCCTACTTCCTTGATTAGATACTCACAGAAAGCAACATCGTTTTCCTTTCCGAAAGGGGTGTGATCCACCACCACGAAGTAGGTTCCACTCGATGAGAAGACTGTGAATCCCACTGATTTCAACCCTTCGATCAAGATATTCTTTTTCGCCATGTAATCCCTCCGGAGCTCCTCATAGTAGGAATCTGGGGCTCTGATGGCCGTTGCAGCTGCAAATTGCATTGGGGTGGATGTTGCAAAGGTGAGGAAAGAATGAGCCTGTCTGATCCCCCATGTCAAATGTGGGGGTGCTATTGCCCAACCAATTTTCCAGCCAGTTAGTGAGAAGGTTTTCCCGAGAGAATTCATGGTTACAGTCCGTTCATACATCCCGGGAAGTGAAGCAATAGAAATATGATCCATTTCAAAAGCTAACTTTTCATAAACCTCGTCGGAGAAAACCAGCACATCATTCTCAATACAAAGAGAGGCAATGGCATTAAGTTCGTCTCGATTGAACATCTTTCCTGTGGGGTTATGTGGAGTGTTAATCAGGATAGCACGAGTATTCTTTGACACAACTGACTTCAGCTCATCAATGGGTATCGAGAAATCTGGAGGCCGAAGGGTGACACATTTTATTTCAGCACCAGCCATGGATAGTGTAGCTTCATAGGAATCATAGAACGGAGCAAAGAGGATGACCTCATCGCCAGGATTTATTAAGCCTAACATTGTTGCGGCTATAGCTTCCGTACATCCCGAAGTGACGGTGATTTCTTTTTCAGGATCAACCACAAGTCCTGTGTCTTTCTTGAAACGTTCAGCCACAGCTGAGTTCAGATCGGGAACTCCATATCCACGGGCATATTGATTTTTACCATCTCTAATGGCCTGAATAGCTGCTTCTTTGACAAAATCAGGGCCGTCAAAATTTGGAAAGCCCTGTCCAAGGTTTATGGCTCCATGCTTGATGGCAAGCGAACTCATTTGGGTGAAAATTGTAGTTTTGAACTTCTCTAAGCGCTTGGCGACCTGATAAGAATACTTACAATGTCATAGGCAGAATAGAATAGAAATTTGTAGTTCATCTCCATGAACTACTGAGACTTGGACCTAAATAAGAACATTTTTAGCTTGCTAGGTGGGGACAATTGAATACCACTGGGAAGTACTAAGAAATAAAAAGAAGTTAAAATCTTGTTCATTATAGTGCAATTCCATCAAATCCAGCTAAAGTACGTAACAAATGTGCACTCAGCACTTCTCATATTACCCTGGTTTAGCCTCATGCCCAGCACTAGTTGACAATGCAAATAAAACAAGCATTTCAAATAATTTGAAAATTATAAACAACTAAATTATCATAACAACTATTTCTTTGTTGCAGAGCGTAATTGGGTCTGTTTATTGCTGCTGAGTACATGTTAGCACTTACAGCATGTTTTGGAGTTGTTTATAAATGGTTTCAATTATAAATATATAGAAATGATGGTGGATAAGTACCCACGAAATATGTGAATAGAAAGTGATTTAAATTATTATAAACAACTTATAACGGTAACCAAACAAGGTCTTAACCTAAAAGATTTAGCCACTAGAAGTACAGTAATTTATAAATTTAGTATTGCTGCATTACTCTATTGCTATAAGAGTTGTGTAACATCCCACATCGTTTAGACACGAAAATAATAACCAACATATAAGGATTTGAGCTATTTCTCTTAAAAAGTTTAACCCTAATGGAAACCCAAGATTCTATACGTTAAAACTGTTTCTTAAATTGATTGTTGCAGTGACTAACATTGGTTTATAGAGTGTTATGGGATTATGTATTTTGTTTCACATGAGATCTTTCATCTCACAGTCCGTCATCTCTGGTTTTGAGATCAATATCTTACCACATAAATTATTTTGCATCCGATTCAGCTTGTACGGTATGATTCTGAAAATACTTGCAGAAAAAAGTGTGGGACCATCATAGGCTTCAAATAGCATAAGGAAAAAAAATCTCAGCTCTTTAGATAAATTGGCATAATATAGGCAGTGTTGACAATTATGTGGCTACATATCACAGATGAAGTTAACAAAATGACAAGACAACTGGCTTTACGCAAGGACTTTTTTTTTGATAGGCTTTACACAAGGACTTAAAAAGAAAAAGCCTTTTTGTATCATCCCAACATATAACAAGAAGATGAGGTTATCTCCAATAAACTTGAGAACGGTTACATGAATTATGTTTAATCACCCCCTTCAAGAAATTCAGTAATTATAATGCTTTTAGCCTCTTCAAGAAATACAGTATTTATAGCATAGGATGATGGACATAACTCTTCAAAAAGTCTTTGAATCTCATCCATTTTATTAGACACCCAGATAAAAAGATGTACAGCATATCGCATGCATTGGCGGCTGCTGAAGCCATTTCCAATGCTAATGCAGAGGATGAAGGGCATTCCATAAAGTTATTTTCTGGCATTATACGAGAAGTGTAACTATTATATTAAACTCTTTAAGTGTTACAGTGTCAGAGTAAATTATTTTTTCTTTTAACTTTGGACGCCATAAGAAAGATAAAGACTAAAAAGCATCATGCAACACTGCAGACAAGCACGAGCATAGGATTCCATTGGTTTAAATTGACAGGTCCAAATGGAAAACTTAAAATTCACAGAATTCAAACCAATA